ATGGGGCCGCGGGCTGCGGCGGGGCAGGCGAGGGCCCAGCAGCTGCAGGAGCTGTGGAGCCGGACGGAGAGGGCGGAACGGAGGCTGCTGGCCTGCGAAAACCTGGTCGGGGAGCTGGGCAGCAACCTGGCGGCCCTGGGCAGCCTCCTCCAGGACTACAGGCACCTCCAGCAGCGGTTGGACAACGTGGAGAATCTCCTGAAGAACAGAAATTTCTGGATCCTGCGGCTGCCCCCCAGCTCGCAGGGCGAGGTCCCCAAGGTAACGGCGTCCTGCTCAGCCCCTGGGGGCACTGGCGGAGGGTGGTTAGGAAATGCTGGAGTGCTCTCAGCAGTGGGCTCGGGTGGCTGAACACCTGCGAGTCCCGGACTTGGCCGCTCACAAGCCCCAATCTGTGCCTGCCCGGAGCTCCGCCAGCCAAAGCCGAGTGCTGCCTCGCACATGTGTGATCTCCAGTTAACAAATCGCATCAGAAGTCACCGAAGCACTTAATATTTGTGATTCTAGGTACCAGTCACGTTCGATGATGTCTCGGTGTACTTCAACGAGCAGGAGTGGGAGAGGCTGGACCGATGGCAAAAGGATCTGTACAGGGCTGTGATGAGGGGGAACTATGAGATGCTCATCTCCCTGGGTAAGGTGCAGGGTTTCACCTCTGGGTGAGCTTTTCTTGTGGGTGGGTTGGATGGACTGCTTCCCGCTGCTAAAACTGAGGGGCTGGAGCACCCCCCTGTGAGAACAGGCTGAGAGAGTTGGGGGGTTCAGCTGGAGAAGAGAAGGCTCCGGGGAGACCTTAGAGCGGCCTCCCAGGGCTGAAAGGGGCTGCAGGAAAGGGGGGAGGGACTCTGGATCAGGGGTGTATGGACAGGATGAGGGGGAACAGTTTTAAACTGAAAGAGGGGAGATTTAGATTAGAGATAAAGAAGAAATTCTTCCCTGTGAGGGTGGTGAGGCCCTGGCACAGGTTGCCCAGAGCAGCTGTGGCTGCCCCCTCCCTGGAAGGGTTCAAGGCCAGGTTGGACGGGGCTTTGGGCAACCTGGGCTAGTGGAAGGTGTCCCTGCCCGGGGCAGGGAGGTGGGACTGGATGATCTTTAAGGTCCCTTCCAACCCAAACCATCCCGTGATTCTGTGCGGCCCAACATGAGTTGGGTCTGGCTGGGGGGGGGGCGCTGGATGTCTGCAGCTAACAGAGCCTCTCCTGAGCAGTCAGACCCACACGTCTTCCCTCCTTCCTGCTTGTAAGCAGTGAACAACGTCTGCAAGAGAGCTGTAGTAAATAATAGTAGAGATAATAATAATACAAGCAGTATCAATTATAAAAAATATCCACGTGACGTGCTGCTCTTAATGACCATGTAAGTGGATTCCAGGGACAGGGAACCATCGTGATCTTCCAGCACAGTTTAGGGATTAATCTGGGTGAAGTTTGATAATTGCACCTTAACCCAGTTCTTGCTTTCTGTTTACCCCCTGTGTAAAGTGACAGGGACGTTTCCATCTCCTTGGTAAAGGTCTAAGATAACCATGCTCGGCCTTTCTAAGGACACCCAGTATGTTCTTGGATGATTTGGGCTGTAAGATAATTCCCCACCAAAAGCTGCTTCTTGGGCTTGGCTAGTAACACACAGCTCTATGCAGCTACTGAAGTTGAGGCTTCGCTTTTCTCAATAATATTCTGTAAGAAACAGAATAAAATTGTTCCTTTCATCCATCTGACACAGATATCTCTACAAAGCAGGAAGTTTTCTGTCTCTGTACCAGAACGATAGCTCAGAAGAAGTGATTACTAAAGTTTGAAATGGAAGGAAAATGTTAAAGACAAAGCCTTTCCCTCTCCTTTGAGACTTTCATTTATGTTCTGCTCTTTAGATTCTCCCTGTCCTTGAGCCACAGCTGTGCTCAGGGCGGATCCTGCCCCAGGCCAAGCAAGCAGTGCCACCTTAGAGTGTGGATAATGTATTTGTGTGTGTGTGTCTGTCCTGCTGCTGGCTCTGGGCTTAGGGACAGAAGGGTCACACAGAGTTTGACAGCATCAGGGTGTAGCCAGTTCCTAATAAAACCTGCTGTCCTCTGCCCTGTGCACAGACTACGCTGTGTCCAAGCCTGACATCCTCTCCCGCATCGAGAGGGATGAAGAGCTCCATGTCCAGGACGGGCAGGAGCCCCCACAGACACACATCCGAGACAGTCAGGAGCCCTCCCGAGCGTGTACCAGTGAAGGTCAGGAGCCCCCGCAGTCACCAGAAGAGATGGACCAGGATGAAGAGGCTTTGGGAGAAGATGAAGTCCCCATGGAAGCTGACACAGGTGGGTGCCAGGAGGAGGAGGAGGCAGTTCCTGTCCCAGCTCTGTCAGGACATGGCCCAGCAGTCTCTGTTGGAAATGAATGGTGCTGAGGGGCTGCTGACTATTGACTAAGCTTCCAGGGAGTAACTTGGATCTTTCTTCCGATGTTTGTGCTTAGTCACATGAATCCCGTGGAGAAAAACAGACAAGGCCCGTCGGGAGGGGCTGGGGTGGAGTCTGAAGGGGTGGGGCAGACCTCTTGCCATCCCTTTCAGCCCTGTTTCTGAGCAGTTTGGCAATCTTTTGTCCCCTGCGTGCGTGCGGGAGCCCTCTGGCTTCCGGAGACCGCGCTGCTTGCCTGGGTGAAGGAGGAGGCGGGGTGGGAAGTGAGGAACCTGGGAACCTGCAGCACGAGGAGGAGGAGGCTGGGGCAGCTCTGCTGGTGCTGGGGAAAGCAGAAGCAGGCAGGAGAGCCTCGGGCCATGGCATGGGAGAGTTGGAAAAATCAGTTGTTAAGAGTGTAAAGGTTGGGCAAGAAGGTAGGAGACACTGGAAAGGGAGAGGCAGGCCCTGACAGCCAGGAGAAGAAGGAATGTGTGAGCAGAGCTGGGATGGAGAGGTCTTCCCTGCGGGACTGTGGGGGGTCAAGAAACCCCAGGAAAGGCCGGGTGAGCACTGGCAGGGGCAGAGGGCACAGCAGGCTCTGTCTTTGGGGGAGTGTTACCCACAAGTGACAGCAGCCCCCGAGTGTGTGTTTGGGGGTTGGCTTCATGCAATTGTAGAATACCAGGTTGGAAGGGACATCAAGGATTATCTCGCCCTTGTCAAGTGCTCCCGGGAAGGGAGGAAAAAGATGTTACATAGAGGCTCTCCCTCTCCTTCGAGATGTTTGTTCATGTTCTGCTCTTTAGATTCTCCCTGTCCTTGAGCCACATCTGTGCTCAGGGCGGATCCTGCCCCAGGCCAAGCAAGCAGCGCCACCTTGTTAGAGTGTGGATAATGTATTTGTGTGTGTCTGTCCTGCTGCTGGCTCTGGGCTTAGGGACAGAAGGATCACACAGAGTTTGACAGCAGGAAGGTGTAGCCAGTTCCTAATAAAACTTGCTGTCCTCTGCCCCATATGCAGAATATGCTGCATCCAAGTCTGATATCCTCACCCGCATCAAGAGGGACGAAGAGCTCTATGTCCAGGACGGGCAGGACTCCCCACAGATACACCCAGGAGATGCTCAGAAGCCCCCACAGACAGACAGCCCTGGTGCTCAGAAGCGCCCCCAGATACACATCAGAGGTGATGAGAAGCCCCCGCAGACAGACATCCCAGATGTTCAGAAGCCCCCACAGACCCACGTCCCAGACAGTCAGGAGCCCCCACAGGCACCAGAAAAGAAGGAGCAGAAGGAAGAGGCTCTGGGGGATGATAAAGTCCCAGCAAAAACTGGCACAGGTAGGTTGGGTGGGTGCCAGGAGGACTTGCTTCCCCAGGCTGTTCCTGTCCCAGCAGCATCCGTGGGACAGGGCACGGCAAGTCACGATGCTTAGAGGAGGGTCACCAGGGAAAGGCAGAAGTCCTGGAGTGTGGTGTTACGGGGTTTGAGGGCCCCAACAGAAGGAAATAAGGGGACACTACCTGTAGAGTGGGTCGGGAGGATTTGGGAGGGATGAGTTTGCTCTGCAGAGGTGACAGCACACAGCGCCTTGGTGTCTTTCCTCCCAGCCCTCCCTCTGCTCTTGGCCCTTGTGTGTGGCTTCACTCCAGTTCCTTCTAGCACTGCACGTGCTCTCCACAGAATCATTTTTGTTGGAAAAGACCTTTAGGATCATCGAGACCAACTGTTATCCCAGCACTGCCAGGTCCACCACTAAACCATGTCCCTCAGCACCACAGCTACATCTGTTAAATACCTCCAGGGTTGGTGACTCAACCCCTGCCCTGGGCATCCTGGTCCAGTGTCTGACAACCCTTTCAGTGAAGATATTTTTCCTAATATCCAATCTAAACCTCCCCTGGCACAACATGCCATAGCTTCTTGAGCCACAGCTTTTCTCTGGCTCTTCAGGATGCTCCCAACACCTCCCCAGTTCGTGTCAAACCAAAGCAGGAATATGTGAGCTCTCCCCAGGGCTTTAAAATTGCTCTTCTCTGCAAACAGAACTCCCCATCCTGGTGATGAACGTCATGTCCCTGAGCGCACAAAAACATAAGCTGCGCAGGAAAGACTGGCCTGAGACGGAGATGGAAGAGAACCCAGCTGAGTCCCACACCGGTGAGTAACGCTGTGCAGGGGGGACACAGGGAAGCAGCTCTCAGCTCACCAAAGTGCTTGACGTGGGGAGGGATAAAAAAGTTCCAGGCCTCTTTCAGGCCCGAGGCTGATGGAAGTGAAGAGCCTGAAGTACCGCAACGACTTTTTTTCCTGCTACATCTTGTGGCTGTCAGCGGTGTCGTGGTTTTAGAGGTGGATCCCTCTGTACCACCAACCCACAGCCTGGTTCTTCCTGGGAGCAAGACTGCCCCCTGAGACCGCGTTGGGTTGCTCGGGGCAGGACACTGGGGGCATCAAGCCATGTTGTCAGGTTTGTTGGTAGCTCTGTTATTGCTAAAAGCCTGCTCAGTGCTTTGGGGCTTAACCACAACCTGGGTTTGTCCTGGGAACACAAATGACCAGTGCATATGTTGTTCCATTTCAGGGGAAGACAAAATGGCATGTGAGGGGGCTTCTCCTGAAAACACCAAAGTGAAGGAAGAGGAGCCTGCGGCGCTGCAAGAGGCTTCCGCACCATCTCCCAGCCCAGAAATCCAGAAGTGCCCCAAAAGCGAGCAGGCCAAGGCCAAGAGCAAGAAGAAGTCAAGCAGGTGTGCCAGCAGCAGCCTGCTGATGGGCAACTGTCGGCGCGGCTACGTGCGCGAGTGGGCGCACCCCTGCACCGAGTGTGGGAAGCGTTTCCGTCTGAAAATCAACCTCATCATCCACCAGCGGAGCCACGCCAAAGAGGGGCCCTATGAGTGTGCCATGTGCGAAATCAGCTTCGCGGACAAACGCCACCTGGACCTTCACCAGAGCATCCACATAAAAGACAGGGCCTTCGGGGCCAAGGTCTGGGGGAATGTCCACCCAGAGCTGAGGATCCGGCCGAGGAGGAAGTTCTGTGGGACTTTGTGTGGAGGTGCCCACGGCCTGGGCAATGGGATGTACACAGGGGGGCCCTGGCTGGGCCGGGCCACCGAGGAGCTGGACAGAGGGAGCCTGTCCAGCGCGTGTCTTCCCCGACACCAGAGCCCGAAGGCTCGTCGGAAGTCTGTGCTGAAATGCAGTCAGTGCCAGAAGAGTCTCTCTTGCTCCTCTTCCCTTCAGCGGCACCTGCGGACCCACTTGCAGGCCAGACCCTACTGCTGTTCCGCCTGCAAGAAATGCTTCACCCGCAGAACTCACCTCTCACGCCACGAGAAAATACACGACCGCCAGAAAGCCCTGGCTGCGCTCCAGCAGCCCGCAACGGCCACGGCCCAGCCCGCCACCATCTCACCAACACCCCATGGAGCCCCGGAGGCAACGGCGGGTGGGAGCCTTCCTCACTTGCCAGCCCAGGCATCCGAGAGAATCGTTAGCCCTGCGGCTACCGCAGCGGTTCCTGCAAATGCGCCCCCGATGGGGCCTGCAGGACTGGGACCGGTGGGCAAGAGCTGCCAGGCCCCCGGCTCGGCTGGGCCAGGAAACAGGGCAGCGGATTCAGGGGCGGTGGAGAAGTGACAGCAGGAGAGATTGGACCTGCTCATGTCCCTGGAGAGAAATGGCATGAGCGTTGGCTTTGCACGTGGTGGAGTGCTGGGGTTGGGAACGATCCGGCCATTTGAATTCAGCAGCTTTCCTGAACTATAGAAGGAATCACAAGCTTGGATAGCACCACAAAGAAGCTTCCAGTGATCTAAAATGCTTTATCATTCCTCAGACTCTCGTGTCTGCTGGCTGAGGCACAAACCTTTCCCAAGCTGAGCTCACCCATTACTTGATGCTGGAGCCAACCCCTCCCATTCAGAACTACAATTACACGGTGAAGAAGACAGAGAGAAGGAAACCAAGCTGGTGAGCCAGGCAGGACCCCCAAGGAGCTCTTTGCTTCACTGACAGTTTCTTGACCAAGACGCTGGATGAAGAGAGCATGGCATCTCCGACACCCCCCTCGCGTCCTGGCCATGCTTGTTTAATAACCCACCGTGGTGAGGAAACCCACTAACCCCTCGATAAGGTTGGGAACACCCAAGCGTCGTGTTAGAAGATCCATAGAACAAATCAAACCACAAATTTTTTTTCTGCTTGGGAGGGTGCTGCAGGTGTCCCTGCAGCACCCCTTCCTCCATCTTGCCAGAGCCAGAAACACCCACGAGAGTTCATTCCCTCAGGACCAGCCTGCACAGATGAAGAGTCACTTTAGGAATTCTTCACGGGTAAGAGGAACCCTGCACTGTGGCAGCAGCCCCTGCCAGAACCCTGCTCGGGGCCAAGGGCTGTTGGCTGCCATCCACTTGTGCACGGGAGTGGCCCTGCTGCGGCAGGAAGCCCGTTCTCGGACATGCAGGTCTCCGTTTAGTCACGTATGAAAGCCCACCCTAACTGTGGAAGACTAGTTCTGCCAGCTACCTCAAATGTCCTGGGGAGCGGGACCTGCCCGGAGGGATACAATGAAAACCAGCCCAGGGGCAGCTCCGGCATCCCCAGGAATCATGTACAGGGAGAGGAAATCGGTCCTGGCAGCGTCACTATGCAAAGCAAACAGAGCAGCTGTCGGGACACACTAAATTTGGTTTTCCAGGTGTTTCTTTTTTTCATTGTTTGATATAACCATCTGACATCGTTAAGTCCCTTTCTGGGCAGGGAGCCTGCGGAACCGGTTTGCTTATCCCACTTTTAATTCCTGGCCACTCTGGCAGGTGGGGGGGGGGTGCTGCTGTGGGCCCCATGCTTCGGGCACCGAGGAGATGGCCGCGTCCTGCCATCAGCCCTGGTGCTGCATGGGTCCCGGCCCATGGGGCGGAGAGTGTCCAAGCTGCTCCAGGGGCATGACATCCTGCTGCTCCTCTGGGCTGCCACCATCACCCCCTCACGGCCCCGTGTCCCCGAAGGGACAGCGCTGCCTGCTGCCAAGGATAATGGGCACGGCTGACGCCTTATGGTGGGTCCAGCGATGAGCCGTCTTCTGGCACAGGCAGTAGTGTGACCCTGCTGGTTATCTCAGCCTGTGTAGTGATCCCAGTGACGGGATGTGGCTGGTGTGACGGTGGCACGGAGAGGCTGGCCTCTCCCTCGGGGTGACTGCCCCAACTGGGGCATTTCTTCTAAGGCTCTTGTGACTGGGACCAGTGTTTCCAGTGAGATCCCAGATCCCTTTCTCAGGCTGTGGAATCAATAAAGTATTTGTACATCTGCTTGCTTGGGGGGGGGGGCTGAGCTGGGACCCTCGTGTGCCATTAGTGAAGGGGTAACCTCTGTCGGCCCGGGGGGGGGCCATGGGGGTCACTGCCGCAGCGCCATCCCCCGTTCTGCGTGCAGTGGCCAGCCGAGACCCCAGGGAGTGTCCCAAGGGTGAACGCGGGGCTGTCACCCACTGCTGTGGCTGGGCTGGGAGGGCACTGGGGCTCCCCCAGAGCAGAGCTGTGCGTGGGGCAACCAGACCACAAGGCTTTGTAGCCCCAGGGAGAGCCTGGGCCCGGGCCCTGTGCTCCCTCCTGTCCCTCTGAGGCGCCCCCGAGATGCCTCTGTGGCCACACAGGACCATGTGGTGAGACGCTCTGGCCCTTTGCCACCATCTGGGGCCTTGCTGGACAACACCCCCCAGTACATCCCAGTCCCTTGCACTGGTCCCAGCACCCTGGTGTGTGTCCCAGGGCTGGGCACAGGGGCAGAATCATCCTGTTCCCTCCCACCCCCAGCAGCCCAGGGCCCCCCCACCAACTCCCACCACCCCTGAGACTGCCCTGCCAGCACCTGACATGGCTGCCGAAGCTGCAGGGGTGCCCTCAGTGGATATGGCCACCACGACCGCACGCCTGTGAGGGTGGAGCTGGAGATGGGGGCGTCCCTGGGGTGTTGTCACCCACCTCCTGTCACCCTGGGTATCCCCAGGGCACCCCCTGGGACTGTCACCCACCCACCCCAGGGACATCATCGTTGCCAGAAGCAAGGGGTGAGGGGCCATGGGGCCAGGGATGGGCAAGCAAGGGAGTGGCCCTGACCATCCCGGGCAGGGCCACAGGGAGGAAGGAGGTATCACTGTCCTGCCAACGCGCCCTCAGTGCTGCCGGGGTGTCCCGTGGGGCCCAGGTCTGGCTGGGCAGGGCTGGGACGGGCACCGGGGAGCAGGAAGCAGCAGGTGACCCCAGCGGGTGACGGCGGAGACGTGGGGCAGCTGAGCGGGAGCTGCCCCTCGGACTGCACCCGCAGGAGAGGCCTCAATTGTAACGCAGCCAAGCTCCCTTTGCCGGGCAGAGGTGGCGCAGAGCCCAGGCACCCCCCACCCTGCCCCTCACCAACACCCCAGAGTGCAACAAGAGACCACATCAGCCCAGTGTTTTATCCGAGTCTCTTCCCGGCTCGTCCAATAACCCCAGCTGCTGCCCGGCCACAGCAGCCCCTCCCCGGGCCACTGACCACCCCCCTGCCACCTCCACGCTGGTTGTGTTTAAATAACCCTGAGTTCGACCGCTCTCTGCCTCAGCCCAGTCCCCCTTCCTTGGGGCAGTGGCACAACCCAGCCTGGCTGTGGCTCCCAAACCTCTTCTGCTGCCTCTTGGGCCAGTGTCCTCGCAAGTCCACGCAGAGCATCAGCCTGCCTCCATCCTCCCTCCTCCTCCTCCTCCTGGAGAGCCCAGCGGTGCAGAGCCCCACAGCAGCGCAGAGAGCCCAGCAGCAATGCCACAAGCCCGGTGGTGGTGCCACGAACCCCGTGGTGGTGCCATGAGCCCAGCAGTAGTGCCACGTGCCCGGCGGTGGTGCCACGAGCCCAGCAGCAGTGCAGAGAGCCCAGTGGCAGTGCCACGAGGCCAGCAGTGGTGCCACGAGCCCCGTGGTGGTGCCATGAGCCCAGCGGCAGTGCCATGAGCCCTGGGTGGTGCCACGAGCCCGGTGGCAGTGCCATGAGCCCCACAGCAGCACGGCCTGTGCCATCCTTGCAGGCCGCCGCACCTCTGCCCAGAGAAACGCCACCCCTCCCCTCCTCTAGCCCTCACGCTACCGATTATCCTGGGTCAAAGCCTTGCAGGAGCTGGTCTCCAGCTCCCCATCACGGTTCGGCAAGCCGACGGCAGGAGAGCTGGCCACAGCATGGACCTTCTGGTGGTGGTTCAGAGACTGCCGGTGCCGGAAACTCTTGCTGCAGCCGTTGCACTGGAAGGGCCGCTGCTGGGTGTGCCGGCGCTGGTGCTCCTCCAGCGAGGTTTTCTGGGGGAAGCTCTCGGCGCACTCAATGCAGCGGTAGAGCCGCTCGCCAGCAGCACTGGTCCGGGCGGGCCGGCCTGTCCATCCACCCCGCAGCTGCACGCCGTGGATGCGCTGGTGTTTCTGGAGGTGGTGCTTCTGGATGAAGCCCTTGCCACAGGCTGGACAGCGGTAGGGGCGCTCGCCAGTGTGGATGCGGTAGTGTTTGTTAAGGTTGGACTTCTCATTGAAGCTCTTCCCGCAGGCGGGGCACTGGAAGGGCCGCTCGCCCGTGTGCAGGCGCTGGTGCCGCAGCAGCGCGGCATGGTGGGCCAGGCTCTTCCCGCAGGCCGTGCAGATGAAGGAGCCGTTGCTCTTCCTCGCCTGGCTCTGCTGCCGCGCCAGGAGGTTGCGCTTCAGCCGAACGCTCTTCCAGGCCAGGGGGAGGGCACGGGGCTCTTCTCCCACGGTGCAGGGACCGTGCTCCTCCGTGCCGGGCTGCAACGAGGCCGCCTCGGCAGCGTGGTCTTCTCCCAGCGGCATCCCCTGGGGCAGGGTGAAGGGCTGGTCAGTCCCCACACCCAGCATGTGCTCTGCTGGGAAAGGCAAGCCCGGGGCAGGATGAGCTTCCGCAGGCACCACCACAGGCTTAAACTCGGGCTGGGTGGTCCCGTGTTTGCAAAAGTCCCCCAAGGCCTCTCCCACTGCCTTCTGCTCGCCCAAGCCAGCATGGGTCTCCCAGGGCACCTGCTGCTCCTGGCTCAGGGGAACCTCCTCTTCCAGTCTTGCTGCAGGTGCCTGCGGCAGAGACTGGATTTCAGATCCTTCCTCCGGGGGCTGCTGCTCTTCCGTCTTGATCACGATCTTCTCACCTGCAGAGAGACAGGGATTCACTCCCAGCAAGGGACTCTCCCACACCTGCAGCCTCAGCGTGGGAGCAGGAGTTGAGCTTCCCCTGCGGCACACTGGGGAGGTGGAAAGGGAGCTGGAAGGTTTTTACAGAGAACAGTGTGGGAGAAGGACACTTGAGGTGGAGGACACGTCTGATGGACTGACAGTACTCATAAAGCAACCAAAACAGGGGAAAGGTGGAGCGAAAGGTGAGTAAGCAGAGTCCTCTGTCCTAGAAGGAACTTTGTCAGAAATGGCTCAGTTTAGGTGAGTGAATCTGGGGAAAAGGATCACAGAATTGTCTGGGTTCGACGAATTTGGGATCACAGAATCATCTGGGAAGTCCCTCCAGCCCAACCATGAACCTCTCCCTGACCATTCCCAACTCCACCAGATCCCTCAGCGCTGGGTCAGCCCGACTCTTCAACCCCTCCAGGGATGGGGACTCCCCCCCTGCCCTGGGCAGCCCATTCCAACGCCCAACAGCCCCTTCTGCAAAGAAATCCTTCCTCAGAGCCAGCCTGACCCTGCCCTGGGCAGCTTGAGGCCATTCCCTCTGGGCCTGGCGCTGGGTCCTTGGCTCAAGAGACTCATCCCCCCTCTCTGCACCCTCCTGTCAGGGAGTTGCAGAGGGCCAGGAGGTCTCCCCTCAGCCTCCTCTTCTCCAGACTGAACCCCCCAAGTTCCTGCCGCTCTTGTGGGAGAGTGCAGATGGATGCCCCAGTGCCCCTCTGAGCAGGTCCTGCTCCCCACACTCAGACCTCAGTGCCAAGCGGCCTCTCTGACTCACTGTCACTGAGGTGTCCCAACACCGCTCCCTTCTCCGCCAGCCCGTGGCTCCTCGCACCCGAATCCTCCTCATCCTCAGGCGGTGGCAGCAGCAGAGGGGGTTTGGAGCTGGCATCCCCGGGCCCTGGGAAGGAGAAAGCAGTGGTACGAACTGCTGATGCTTGGGGACCAGCACGTATCCCCTCGATAAAAGGCTGCTCTGGCACAGCAGGAGCTGTGGGGCATCCAGAGGGGTCCTGGGCTCCCACAGCAGCAGCGCAGGTTTCCCAGGACATCCCAGCAAGCAGGCTGCTGTCATCCAAATTATTTGTTACCCTGAGATGAAGCAACTGCCAGGCACTCAGCCTTTAAAATTTCAACCCAAAATAGTCCGCACTAAAAATTACGACTGTCTGCAGCAAATCCTTACGGGGGGATACACACAGGCCCCATGTCCTGGCAAATAAACGGTGCGGGAGCGCAGGTCACAGGACACAGCATGAGCACGTCAGCTGAAATCCCCACCACGTCCTGTCCTGGCCACATGAGGAGGGACTCCAGCAGACACTCGCTCCTCCTGCAGTGTTCCTGCTCCTGGAGGCAAAGCCCTGACAGGGCCAGTCAGGGCTGACAGAGGGCCCGGGTGCTGTGATGGTGAGATGAGGTGCTCTTGGGGCCCGCAGGGTGTGAGAGAAGCACAGTTATCACCCACAACTTAAATGTGTCAAGGCACCACCTCTCACTACTCATTCTCCTCCAAACCCCCAGCCAACGAATCAGCCTGAGAGCAGCCCAGCGCTGGGTCTGGCCCAGGGGATCATTGTTTGTCTGACACGCGAGTAGAGACGGAGCCTCACCGAGAGAAACCACCACGGCCTCGTAACTGCCCTTCATGGCGATCCTGCAGAGCTCCTTCTGCCGGCTCTCCGAGCTCCCCCACTCCTGCTCTGGCAAAGTGGCTGCGTCCTCCTCGCACGCCGCTGCTGGCACCTGAAACCAGAGGAGCCACTGCCTTAGTGCTGCCCCAGCCCCAGTGCCCACTCCGCTGCCCCAGCGAAAGCAGACAGGTGCGGGCCCAGAGCCCCCAGGGAAAGGAGCTGTGCCATGGCTTGAACCCAGGGAACAATTTCAAGCTGGCCCAGCGAGGCTCACTCATTCCTCCTTTTCCTCTAACCAGGTTCACAAGCACCTCTCCTTCCCTTGACCCACAGCAGCACCCGGCAGCAGCCAGGTGAGCAGGAACCCCCTCGAAGGGGGAGCAGGATGAGTAGGACGGTCCACCAGGAGGACCCAACAAGGCTGAAAATGCTTGAGGGAGCTGTGTTCTGCTCCCTCTTTTCACCGGGGAAAAGTGTGGGAAATCCCCGACTGCTTCCCTAGCATGTAGGCTCTCGAGGTAGAAGCCGTGTCCCTGGTCTGCTCAGCTCCCCACAAGCCAGGCCCACATCCCACTGGCCGCACGGTCACACCCCGTTACCTTGGGCATGTGCCTGTTACCTGGGGCATATCCCCATTAGCTGGGGCTTGACCCTGTTTGTCACCTCGGGCACGTCCCCATCAGCTGGGACTTATCCCTGTTACATTGGGCTCATCCTCGTTACCTTGGGGACATCCCCATTAGCTGAGGCTTGTCCCTGTTCATCACCGTGGGCACGTCCCCATTAGCTGGGGCTCGTCCCTGTCACCTGGGGCACGTCCCTATTACATCAGGCACATCCCTGTTAGCTGGGGCTCATCCCTGTCACCTCAGGCACATTCCCATTACCCAAGGCTCATCCCTGTCACCTGAGGTATGCCTCCATTATCTGAGGCTTGTACCTCTTACCTCGGGAATGTCCCCATTAGCTGGGGTTTGTCCCTGTTTGGCACCATGGGCACGTCCCCATTAGCTGAGGCATGTTCCTGTTACCTTGGGCTCATCCCTGTAGCCTCAGGCACATCCCTGTTACCTGGGGCTCATCCCTGTGACCTCAAGCACATCCCCATTATCTGAGGCTTTGTACCTCTTACCTAGGGCATGTCTCCATTAGCTAGGGTTTGTCCCTGCTACCTTGGACATGTTCTCATTAGCTGGGGCTCATCCCTGTCACCTCAAGCACCTCCCTGTTAGCTGGGACTTGTATCTATTTGTCACCATGGGCATGTCCTCATTAGCTGGGGCTTGTCCCCATTACCCAGGGCTCATCCCTGTCACCTTGGGCCTGTCCCTGTTAGCTGGGGATTGTCCCTGTTTTTCAAGTCCCCATTAGTTGGGGCTTATTCCTGTCATCTTGGCCACATCCTTGTCAGCTGGGGCTTGTCCCTGTTACCAGTGGCTTGTCCCTGTTACCCTGGGCATATCCGCATTGCTGGGGAATGTCCCTGTTAGCTGGGGTTTGTCCCTGTTTGTCAACTTGGGTACACCCCTGTTATCTGGGGCTCGTCCCCGTTAACTTGGGCATGTCCCCATTAGCTGGGACTTGTCCCTGTCACCTCATGCTCATCCCTATCACCTCAGGCACACTGCCGTTAGCTGGGGCTCATCCCTGTCACTTTGGGCACATCCCCATTAGCTGAAGCTTGTCCCTGTCACTTCAGGCATGTCCCTGTTATCCGGAGCTCATCCCTGTCACCTGGGGCATGTCCCTGTTAGCTGGGGCTTGTCCCTGTTGCCTCAGGCATGTCCCCGTTACCCAGGGCTCATCCCTGTCACCTCGGGCACATCCCCATTACCCAGGGCTTGTCCCTGCCACCTCCAGCATGTCCCCATTAGCTGGAGCTCGTCCCTGTTACCTCAGGCACATCCCCATTATGTGAGGCTTTGTACCTCTTACCTCGGGCATATTCCCATTAGCTGGGATTTGTCCCTGTTACTCTGGGCATGTCCCTGTTAGGTGAAGCTTGTCCCTGTCACCTCGGGCATGTCCCCATTAGCTGAGGCTTGTCCCTGTTTGGCACTTTGGGCACATCCTCATTAGCTGAGGCTCGTCCCTGTCACCTGGTGCACATCCCTGTTACCTGGGGCTCATCCCTATTACCTTGGGGTCATTCCTGTTGCCTCAGGCACATCCCCATTATGTGAGGCTTTGTACCTCTTACCTTGGACATATTGCCATTAGCTGTGGTTTGTCCCTGTTACTCTGGGCATGTCCCTGTTAGGTGAAGCTTGTCCCTGTCACCTCGAGCATGTGCCCATTAGCTGGGGCTTGTTCCTGTTTGGCACCGTGGGCACATCCCCATTAGCTGAAGCTCATCTCTTTCACCTAGGGCATATCCCTGTTACCTGGGGCTCATCCCTATTACCTTGGGCTCGTCCCTGTCGTCTCAGGCACATCTCTGCTACCTGGGGCTCATCCCTGTCACCTGGGCCACGTCCCTGTTGCCTGGGACTCATCCCTGTCGCCTCAGGCACATCCCTGTTACCTGGGACTCACCCCTGTCACCTGGGGCATGTCCCTGTTGCCTGGACTCATCCCTGTCACCCCAGGCACATCCCCATTATCTGAGGCTTTGTACCTCTTACCTTGGGCATGTCCCCATTAGCTGGGGTTTGTCCCTGCTACCTTGGGCACGTTCCATGTTAGGTGAACCTTGTCCCTGTCACCTGGGGCATGTCTCCATTAACTGGGGCTCGTCCCTGTCACCTCAGGCACGTCCCCGTTCCCCAGGACTGGTCCCTGTTACCTTGGGCTCGTCCCCGCCGGGGCCCGGCCCGGGCCTGGGGGCCCAGCAGCTGCGGTGCTGGAGCTGGCGCTCGACGTGCTCCAGCCGCCGCGTGTTCTCCTGCACCAGGGCGGCCAGGGCGGCCCACTTGCGCTCCAGCCGGCTGCCGAAATCCAGCACGGCCTTCTCCAGCCCCGTCACCTTCTTCTCGGCCGTCTCGGCTCTCCCCTCCAGGCTCAGC